AAAAAAAAAAAAAAAAAAAAAAAAAAAGTTCTGAATTTTTAGTCGAATTACAAAAAAACGAAAAATCAAATGATTATCAAACATGAACGCTTAACGTAATAGAACGAAGCATACCTATTCAAACGGTTGTTTATGGCAGTAAGGTCTTTTGAAGGGCTTTGAAACGCATGAGTGCTCTCCCCGACACAAGCGTAATAGCTTTTTGAACTATGTGAAATCAACGCATCCATCTGATCACAATTTTCAAAACTTGGTTAAATATTACATGTGCTACAACTCATGGCAACTTACAATTGGTCACTTGTTATCGATGTGGGTACAGAAAAAAAGACCCACAAGAACAATCAAAGTTAAACGAAAGATCTCGCAGAACTATATCCAGATAAAACGTCTCAAAGATAGAATATGTGTGACAATGGCATGCCACCACAGATACCTTTGATGATCTTAGTGGAGAGACATAGACATTATGTACTGAAGATACTTTCTTCGGAGACATGTCGGGAAGACTTGGAAAATGCGATATCTTAGGTGATCCCGGGCACGGTGCTAATCATTAGACACAAGAAGACCGAAAAGCATATCAAGAAATGATAATAAACTGCAAATAGGACACCATCATTACAATTAAATAAACATGATCAGGTGTACCATTGCTGTTGTTGTTGTTGACTTGAGGAACTCTGTCAGTTTTCGTGGTTGATGCAGCTGGGCCAATCTCAACGAGCAGAGGTTTTATAGAAGGGATAAATATTTCATTGTAGAACGTAATTATATCCACGTGATCCTGTCCTGATCTCTGAATCCAGAGCATTCTAGGAGTTATTCATTGAACTCTTTTTTAAATAAAATAGAATAAAACATAAAAAAACAGCCTACCCCATTACGACGTGCTGAAGACCAATCAACAAACACATTTCGGAAGATTTGAGGTTTGCATTGCGGTTGCTTCCTGTAGTTGTATATGATTTCCTTAAACGTGAGGCTCAATTGAGATATCTGCAACATTGTTTGTGTTAAGATAAAATAATAAAGTGAACCAAAAAGCATCAAAATCTCTTTCAACATCCTTTAGAACAAACCTTCGCGACACCATAGAAACAACAAAGAATTATCTGGTCGATGTGACGATTAAATAATAGTGATGTTTTTTGACCGAGTATCCGTTGGAAAAGGCAGTAGACATTCTCCCTGATCTGATGAGATAACTGCAACCTTTCCACCATACCATTGACTCTAACAGCAGCCAACTTGGTGATCTAAGAGTTGAAAATCATGCGAAGCACTTATTACGAAAATGGTTGAAAAATAATAATCATAGATAGCGATCTCATATTTTCAAGAATGAATAACAAATGCAGGTAACACACGCATGCTCCCAGAACTTCAATCACATTGTTCAAGTAAGAAGGCAAGTAAGTTCATAAACTCTTCGAATTAGGATGTCCCAAATGTTTTATTATCTTGATACCACGGTAGTCAGAAAATCATGTTTTTTATACCTTGCTAAAAAATATGTTAATTCCAGTTTCAGCGCACGTTTCACCACCACCTCCGGGATTAGGCCGAGTAGGACTGAAAATAAAGACATAAAGCATGGAAATAATAGTTAGGGAGTAGTCAAAAGATTGACATTTGAGCAGTAGCACTTAAAATATGTCGATTATACCTTGCAAATGCTGACTGTAAAGGAGGTGGCAGAAGCTTAGACTTGATATTACTGAAAGCCAGGAGTCGGTCCTTCACTGGAGAAGTAAAAGAATTCCGTTCCACTAGCACACTTCTTAAATCTGTGCACAATCTTTTGGGTGACCTTATATGCCCATTTTGACCTGAAGGATAATCATAAAAGATCCATATTCATAGTTGAGTGAAATAAGAGAAACATATTTGTTAAATTAAATTGCAAACGTTTGAACTCAGACAAACTCTATGGCACGAGGTTTCCACGCCCTTATAAAGAATGTTTTGTTTCTCTCTCAAATCGACGTGGGATCTCACAATCCACCCCCTTCAGGAACCAACGTCCCCACGGGGCCCGACATCCTCGCTGGCACATCGCCCGATGTTTGGCTCTAATACCATTTGTAATAGCCCAAGTCCACCGCTAGCAAATATCGTCCTCTTTGGACTTTCCCTTTCAGGCTTCCCCTCAAGGTTTTTGAAAGGCGTCTGCTAGGGAGAGGTTTCCACACCCTTATAAAGAATGCTTCATTCCCCTTTTCAATCCATGTGAGATCTCACACAAACATTTCAATCTATCAAGACAAACACAAAATTGATTATTTCTGTAAGTGCTAAGATGACAACTAGACTATGTTTAGCAAATGCTGCATTTTACCAGTCATGTTCAGGTGCTAACTAATTCTATTTTAATGATATAAACCAAAGATGAAAACTCTACTCCGTTACCTGGCAAACTCTCATGCTTCTGCAAATTAGGCATGGTTGATACCCCAATACCAGAAAAATTAATTTGAACAGCAATTGCATCCAAAGATGGCATGGGTTCAGCTAGTAAACCCAAACGGTTAATTTCTGCAGCAAGGGCAGGTTTAGCAACAACCAGGGAGTTATACATCGATGAACCTTTTTCCCATACCATGCTCTCTAATAGCCGTTCTTCCAAAGAATTAAGATGTCGCCTCAGCTCTCTAGGAAGCGACTCTTCATGTCTAATAAAACTTTCTATCACCTTACTAAGGTCAAAAGCGGTTATTCCAGTTCGCTCCAATACAGCAGGAAACAACATCGTAACAGTTTTATGAGTCGCCAAAACCAATTCGGCAGAACAAGCCAGCATACATCTGTGGAACCTCTCATTAGTCAGCAAAGAGGTCAAATTAGTCACATGCAGCATCTGAGACTCTGCTCTGCACATTGCTTCCAAAACTCTATAATATAACTTCAATGCTTCTAGTCGCCGCTGTTCTGCCCAGATGTTATCCATGAGGTTCGCACTTTGTAAATTTCCAGCTATACAACGCTCTCCAAGAGCGCTATTTGGAAATATAGCCTCTAATATTATATGTGCCCTGCGAACGACATCATTAGTTACATCTCTATCACATGAGGCTAAAAAGCGCTCCATCTCCGCTGAAGGTTTTGCTGGAAGCGGAGAAATAACCGTTCTGAGCCACTTTGCCGTTGTCATGGCTGTGCTAACAGGCGTGGCAGCAAGTTTTGCGTTGCCACTATTAAGAGTGCCATTGGCATGTGAACCAGGAGAGCGAAGCGGTGACATTGGACTGGTTATTGTCCTTGCAGGTGAGCAAATTGAGTCGAACTTCCTCTGAAGAGATTAAAACCAAAATCATAACCCATATAGGAACATAAGAAAATAAAGTATTGGAAAATTTGCAAACTCAAGAGAAAATACCTTGAAGCCACTCATTGTAACAGCACCTGCAGACAAGCTACCCGACCCAAGTAAACTGTCCTCATCATTAACAAATACCCGCTCATCGAGCTCACCTTTATTATGAATTGCATCTTCATAGTCCTTTTCAAGACTTTCTAAACTGGATGAAAGAGATAACTCCTCCATTAATCCTTCAAAGCATATCAAGCCCTCTGCATTAAAATGCAAAAGGAGAAAAAGGGAAATTTTATGAAGGGCGCAGAAAATCAATAGAGTGCAACTAAACCATCAAATGAAGCACATTGGAACTGACCAGTGTCAATATTCTCCAAGCTTTTACTATTACACTCAGAGGCCGAACGCGGCTTCTTCTTCAAAATATCTTCTATCAAACTATTTGCTTTATCCATTATTTCCCTCAGTTCAA